TCACACACACACACACACACACACACACACTCTCCCTCTCTCACACACACACACACACACACTCACACTCTCCCTCTCTCTCTCACACACACACAAACACACACACTCTCCCTCTCTCACACACACACACACACACACTCACACTCTCCCTCTCTCTCACACACACACACACACTCTCCCTCTCTCACACACACACACACACACACACACACACTGCATGTGTGAGAGACGGAGTGACAAACTGAACACTAACATACTATCACACTATCACTGCAGTGTGTCTGAAGTGTTCTGGATTCATGAATGTCTGGATGAACGACTGCATTAAAACCTGATGCAATACAAACTGTGATTTTAACATCATCTCATTTTTGACTAGTTGTTGGATCAGACTGTCAAGCGTTGTTAAAATTTAACTGAAAAGAAAAACTAACATATTTATCTGAGAGACAATAACTGGATGCCACTCACTGAAGTAAACAAGCACTGAACAACATCCTGTGACAGTAACACAACAGAAATTAATATGCAGCAGGGTCATATTTTCAAATTATTGCAATGCTTTACAATAAAGTCCAATTTGTTAACATTAGTTAATGCATTAAGCAACGTGAACTAACTATGAGCAATATATTTAAGTATTTATTTTTGATATGGTGAGATAATAGACAATTATTTATTGTTTGTTCACCGTGCATTAACTTGTGTTAGCAGATACAACTTGATAAAAGTGAGTAAAATTGACATAAAATTCATAAATGCTGTAGAAATGTGTTCATGTTAACTAGTTTGGTTAATGTTAACAAATGAAAACATAAGTGTTAACAAAATGATATTTTACATTAAAAAAATGAAGCCTGTTTTTAGGACCTTTAGGATTTTTTTGTTTTCAAGAAGAAAAAAACTTACTGTGATGCAAAAAAAAATAATTATTGTATAATACTGTATACACTAAAATATTATTAATATATTATAGAAAATATTTATATTTTAAAATATTTACACATTATAGCAATATTTGTTATGCCACCTATATGCTGATTTTAATTTTAAAAATATTATAGTGTTTTTACTGTATTATAGTAATTAATATATAATGAAAATATGGTAATGAAAATCAAATCCGTACATATTATGGTATTATCAAAAAAAATTGTTATACTGCAAAAAAGGGATTGTTCACTCAAAAATGATCGTTCTGTCATCATTTACTCCTCTCATATCATTCCAAACCTGTATGATTTTCTTTTAGTTTTATATTTTGAAGAATATTGAGTGACAAATAACACTGGAGCCCACTGACTTTCATTTTACAGACAAAAAACACTGAGACATTTCTCTAAATATCTTCTTTTGTGAAGAAAGTAAGTCATACAGATTTAGGACGACGGGAACTTCATATCATTCTGGTTTTAGTTTTCACTCTTCTCTACACAACTAGTTTCTAGTTAAGTTGTAAGTAACCAGCATTCTCCTCTCCGTTCGGGGTGTGAG